CTGTATTTGCAATCATTTATTTCCACAACATTTAAGCAAAATGGCAGTAGTGCCCTTCATATCTTCGCTGGTACAAATCATCTTACTTGCTTATGAATTTTAGATTTGTTTAAAATTTATCTCCGTTGTAAAATTTATTCTTATATTTTGAAAATATTTTATTTTGATTCTAAACTTGTATTAATGTTTGCTTTGACCTTTGTTGTTAACATTGTATTTTTCTTGAATATAATATAATAATATAACATTACAGATATGTGATGAGATATTCGAATAATACAAATTTTATATCATATTTAATAGGAATCACAAATTTGTTTTGTTTTGTTTTTTCTTTTAGGAAAAAGAATAAAAAATTTGTTGTTTTAAAATTTAATGACAAATTCAATTTATGTTGTTTGTAACATAGTTTTATGCCATGTTATGCATGATTTTATGTTTAATACGACGAAAATATATTTTTATGCAAAACCTAAATATTTAATAAATATTTTAAGAATCTGTTAGAATATATACCTCAACGGATTAAAATACATATCATAGATACAACTGGTTAAGATATATATTATGATTAAAATATCGAAAGTTCGAGTTCTATCCCATATAGGTTGAATTGATTAAGATAAATAAAAGTTAGATACCTTTGCAAAAAAAAAAAATGTATATATATATATGGAAAATACTTAACTCCTTACGACAATGATTTATACGATCTAACCACTATTGAATATATGACAACTTGCGAATTCCTTCCCAATAAAATATTTTAACGTTCAAGGTCCATGACTTGAATCTCATTTGCAATATTTTTTTTAAGATCAGCTAGACCTACTTCATTATCACTAGTGAGAATAATATCATATACATACACAAATAAAATTGGGATTTTGTTAGTGTTCATAGTAGGTTCAGCTCGACTCTTAAAAAATTCATAATTAGATACAACTTTTTCAAACTGCTCGAAACAATATTTTAGAGACCATTTAAGATCACATAAAGATTTATTTAATTTACGTATTTTTATTACATCCAAGTTCATTTTCAAAACTGGAGGGTAAACTCCTGAAAAACTTTTCCTCGAGTCCAAAAATATTTAAAAAATAATAAGTTGCTAATTTTTAATAGTGATCAAGACTGGTAAGAAGTAAAATACTATATATATATATATTAATTTTTTTTTTTTGTAGATAACCTTATTTTTGTGAAAAAAACTAATCACACATCATCAGTCTTGATACGCCACGTGGACACTTACCTCACTTGTTCTCCACGCGTATGATCATAAGCCACAGCCACTCACGATTTTTGTTATTTTTTCTAAAATAAAATTTTAAATATTATTTCTTATTAATAAAACCAATAGAAAAGATAGAAAGAGAAGAAGAAATGGTCATTCGAATGTGGGGGAAAAAATCTAAAGATTAAAGCATTATCCTAAGTTCGAATGAATTTAAATAAATAAATCAAAGTTATTATTATCTTTTATTTAAAGAAAGAAAGCGAGAAGAAGAAACAACTGTCTATAAAGGCTTTATATGCAATCATTTATTTTTTTTAATTCTTTTTTTTGTTTTAATTTTAATTTTCTGTTTTTAGCTTTTCATTCCTTTCTTTAATTATCTTCCACTTCCGCCGTTCCAAATCTCTCTCTCTCTCTGGCTCTCTGGGGCTCTGTTTCTCTGATCGGATTGATCGCCGGGATCATTATAGCCCGATCATCTCGCCGGCATTCCGGCGATTCGACTCGGATGACTCGTTACATGGATCCATCTACGACCAAGTTTTACAGAGATTGTATTGCGACAGGGTAACGTTTTTTGTTTCTTCTTTGTTTCCCTTTCCCCGTCTCTGAATCCCTAATTTCAGATCCATGCTTGCTTTTATCGATTTCTGACACTTCGAACATAATTGGTGGGAGAAAGATTCATTCCTCTCGTTTAATCATGACCTAGGGCTGTTATTCCGTGCATGTTGATCCATCATTTTTTGGAATCGATACCTTATCAATCAGTGGTTCATGCTTCGGTTTTAATTCCCGTTCCTTGAACCTACCGAATTTTTGGATTAGGGTTTGTTGTTTGAGGAGACATGTTTAAGAAAATTATGAAGGGAGGGCATCGTAAGCCCTCCAAGTCCGATGCCACTGATCCTTCACTTTACGGGTTTGGACCGCCGGGTAACCGCAATTCAGGCTCTGTCTCGACGACGAATGTGGTGGTGAATCATGCTTCTCGGCCTGGACCGGCCGCATCGGGTACCAATTCAAACTGGGCTCCCGGGGTGGTGACGTTGGCACCTCCTACCGGCACTGTCGAACCTCTCCCATTGTTCCGCGACGTACCGGTTTCAGAAAGGCAGAATTTATTCATTAGAAAATTGCAGATATGTTGCTATCAGTTTGATTTTTCGGACACTCTGAAGTCTGCCAGAGAGAAGGAAATTAAGCGGCAGACGCTTCTGGAATTGGTTGATGTGATACAATCGGGATCGGGGAAAATTGCAGAAACTTGTCAGGAAGAAATGATTAGAATGATTTCAGTTAATATTTTTCGGTGCTTGCCTCCTGCTTCGCATGAAAATACGGGCCAGGAGAATGCTGATCCTGAAGAAGAAGAACCTTATTTGGAACCGTCATGGCCCCATTTGCAGCTTGTATATGAACTTTTACTGAGATACGTCGTGTCATCTGATACTGATACCAAGATTGCCAAGAGGTATATTGACCACTCATTTGTGTTGAAACTTTTGGATTTGTTCGACTCTGAGGATCCTCGTGAGCGGGAGTATTTAAAGACGATCTTGCATCGTATATATGGAAAGTTCATGGTCCATCGGCCATTTATTCGGAAGGCAATCAATAATATTTTTTATCGATTCATTTACGAGACAGAAAGGCACAGTGGTGTAGGTGAGCTTTTGGAGATCCTTGGTAGTATCATTAATGGGTTTGCATTGCCAATGAAAGAGGAGCATAAATTGTTTCTTGTTCGGGCCCTTATTCCTTTGCACAAGCCTAAATCAATTGCAATCTATCACCAACAGCTATCCTACTGCATAACACAGTTTGTTGAAAAAGATTACAAGCTTGCCGATACTGTCATAAGGGGCTTATTGAAATATTGGCCCATGACCAACTGTCAGAAAGAAGTTCTCTTCATAGGAGAACTTGAAGAAGTATTAGAGGCTACACAATCAGCAGAGTTTCAGCGCTGCATGGTTCCACTTTTTAGGCAGATTGCACGTTGCCTGAATAGCTCCCATTTTCAGGTTTGAAGTTTTAAAATATTTTCAGTTTTTGATTACATGATTTTTATATCTAAAAACAGATATGATCTTTAAAATTTTGTCTCAACATAGATATGCATGTGTAGTTTTAATGATTTGTCTTACTGATAAGCACAGACTCCATTAACTGTTTGTTCATGCTCCTAATAAGACCTCTGGGAGTAAAATTAATTCTTTACTACATTTATTTGCTTTGGGTCTAGGAAGATTGGTTGTTTTATTTTGCCCTGTAGTTTTATTTTCCTATATTAGGACTTATTTTTTTTATAAGAGAATATTAGGACTTATTTCCTTACGATGTTTCCTCTCTCTCTCTTTTAAACTATAAAAATACGTTTTCTTGTCTCTCATTAAGAGAGAGAGTGAGAGAAGGGGAGCAATAGATGTTACTCCTGAAGTTTTTTTTTCCCCTTCTCGCTACTGTTTTTTTGTCATCGACAATTATTCTTTGAAATATTATTAGTTTGTCTATTGACTCTGATGGGGATGGACTGGATGGCTAAAGTGGATGACAAGCATCTCCACTGCACTTGCAGTCACTTAATCTTTCCTAATTTAACAAGCCCAAAATGATTAAACAATTAAACAGTGACGTCCTCTAGTTTTTACTTAATTCTTGTACATGTCCATTCTTATTCTGTGTATATATATATTTTCCCTTCTTCTAAGGGCTGTTTTCTCTTTCAATTACTGTAGATCTTCACCTTTTTAACTAGATTTATTGGTTGATTTATTTTAGGATCTAGCATATTGATCATTGAAATAAAAGTAGAGGAAATTTTAACCTATGCGTTATATTTTATTTAGTTTATAGTTCGGTTGTTTCCCACTTCTCAGTTACTCTGGGTATTTGGTTTTGGGAGGTTTTGATTTGCCCCTTTTTGGAACATAAAAACATACATACCTTGGTGTTATTTTCTTCTACTTCATAAAAAGATTGGTATTCCTGCCCCAGGTCTGTATTTAATGAATTTGATTGTGTTATATTTTACAAATGTTTTGGACTGCTGTGCTTTCGAATAACATATTTTTCCTTTTCTCCACTCCTCTCCTCCCCTCCCCCAACAACAGTTTCATGGTCAATTGCATGAATTCCTTTCTTCTAATTCCTTATAGTTATATAATTATTCTTGCTAATTGATAAATCTCTCTCAATTTCTGCTATTGTTGAAACTTAGATATTCCTACTCATTAAATTATCTGGGGATCTGCTCTAAATGTACGGAAATTCCCTATCGCCCAATTTAGGTGTTATTATGCGACACAATAGTGGTGGTTTGGGATAATGTATATTTTTTCGTCCTGGTGATTGAAGCTAAAATGCCAAAGGAGCAACAAAATATGTCTTTAATTAACACAAACGGAAGAAAGAGTATACTTAAAATCATCTGCTGTGAGAGCACCAAGAAGAAACAAAAACTATAAGATCCTAAATTTGGCCCAACCCTTCTCAACCCCTTGGAAAGTTCTTGCTTCTATTTTTCTTTTGCTGAGTTTCGTGATAAAGTAAGCCCTTGAAGCATTGAACCAAAAAGATCTTAGAATTCCTCTTGAAAGGGGTTTGGTACAAAGTAAAGGTGTCGTGAAACTTTGAACTTCTTGTAGTAAAAAAAATTTCTCAACCAAAAATCGGAAATAGCTGGTGCCAGAGGCTAGTAGCAAAAGGGTGACATGGAAATAGGTGATCCGTCGTTTTTCCCTCATCCTGCACAAAACATGAGAATTGAGAACCGAGGGATACCAATTTAGCCATCTAAATTTTAACTTGAAACCTCTCATGTGTAACTCTACTTAGGACTTCCTAGGAAGGACAGCAAGGGAATATAATTAGGAGCCATTTGGTTCACGGTTTGCATAAAATTATTGGATGGATAGAAATGATACGCTAGATTATTGAACAACTAAAACTAAAAATCTTTAGTTTTGTATGAGAATGGTATCAAATATGTGTATAAAAATCTGTGTTTATTGTCTGACAATCTTGGACTAAATATGGATCATTGGATTGGATTGGATTGGACTTGGATGGTTATTGGCTCTCATAAACTTCGATTGTGGTCGTTTCTTTTGACAGTTGTGTGGCACTCAAGGAAGTATTCTTGGAGTCTTCTGTAGGATTGTTAGGATATCTAAGGGCTTCTTTGGAGAACAAAAAAAGTTTGCATATCTCTTTTTGTATGCTTTTAAACCTAGTAACTAGATGATTCATTGGGAAATAATTTTAAGAGGAGCATAGACTATAGAGGAAACGGACTAAGATGTTCACTTTTACAATAGGGAGTCTATTGGGGCTGCTCCTCCTTCAGTGTATGGTGACACCAGATTTATAGAATCAATGAAAATAAAAGATATTATGATAAAATAAGAAAGAATCAGAAGTAGTTTCAGACAAAGATTCTTGAAATACAACTTTATTGGAGAACATTGTTGTAATTGTAGATATGATAATGATTTGAAGAACTATATGCTATATGTGCAATTTCAGTGACCCATCTTTTTATTAATGATGAATCAATGCTTTCTGAAGTCCTAATTGATATGATGCTCTTGATGGGATCCACTTGGAGCATTATGTTTCACTCACGTTCTTGGTGGAGCCAGAGGATTGTTCTTCTCCTAGTTTTTATGAGGCCACTTTTGAATGTTTGATGCAGGTTGCTGAAAGAGCTCTGTTTCTGTGGAACAATGAACACATTGTTAGCTTGATAGCCCAGAACCGGGCTGTGGTATTGCCAATAATTTTTGAAGCATTGGAGAAGAACATCCAAAGTCATTGGAACCAGGCGGTTCACGGGCTGACTGTCAACGTTCGAAAGATGTTCTTGGAAATGGACGTCGAGTTGTTTGAAGAATGCCAGAGGCAGTACACGGAGAGAGAGATGAAGGCGAAGGACGTGGAGGAGCAGAGAGAGTTAGCTTGGAAGAGGCTGGCAGATGTTGCAGCACAGAGAGGAGACTACATGGTAACGGTTTAAAGTGTTCATTCAGCATAAATGACTGATATAGATGGTCCAGATTTGACCCTCTCCAAATTTTTTGGTATTCTTTTTCATTTTTTTTCTTTCACTCCATCATCTTTCTTTCTTTATCCCTTTTTTTTTTT